CGAGGAGGAGGAGAAATTACCAACATGTTTCTATAACAGCTGCAGAGGAACACACATTCGGTTCTTTATTTCCGTTTCCATTCTGTTGGAATATAGGTTTTTCTCTCTACCGTCTCCAAGTGCAAAGGAAGGAATATTTCCCTTCTATAATACCAAAAGTAAATGTGTAAATAATTTATCACTTTTATCAGGCTTTGGATAATTATGTGAGAATAAAACACTTCAAAGATAAAAAAAAGGTGTGATAAATGAATGAAGAATTATTTATTTTACTTTAATTTTTTTCTAGTTTTATATATATAAAAAACACAACTGAAGAGTGAGAGGTGTGATGAAAATGATCTTAATCCAGTTTAAAAATTGCTACAGAATTCAAAACAACTTCTTCTGTGATGCATTTTCCTTTAAATCTGTTTGGTTCCCAAAAGCTCAGAAATAAAAAAGAGTAGTTGAAAAACAATAACAAAAAAACAGCCATCATGTAGGTCAGATAAGATTAACACACTCTGACACACATAGAAAAAAGAACAAAATGTCTTGTAAACTAGATCTGGATGCATCCATGAGAAAACCCCCCAGATAAAAACGTGAATTGACCTCACAAAGAACTGAATGTGATGACATGTAAACTTACATTCCTGTTTAGTTTTTTGTAACTTTAAGTCTCTGCTACTAAGACAGAAAAAAACAAAAACAAAAAAAACTAAAACAAGACATACCGAGGTCTACGTTTGAGGCCCAGAAGCCCGACCGGCACTGGAAGCGAACCGAGCTCTGCGGGACGATGGACGGGTTGTAGCTCGTTCTCATCAGGTAGTGGATCTGATAGAGGATCTGAGAGGCAGAGAGACAAGGATGTTAAAAACTAGAGATCAGGCATGACGGAGAGTTTTCTGCTGCAGCCCACAACTCTGAACGAGCATCTAAAACAACCCAAAGGTCCAGCACAATCCAATCAGTGTTCAACAAGACAAAAGGAAAAAAACTAAACATCTAAATTCAGGGTGATTTATCTCATTCCCTCCACTAAATAAATGTTCCAGGTTAAAACTAATTTGCAACTGATTAATGGCTACAGTATACAGAATCTGAAAAAACACTGAAAGAACAACACACTCAAAACAGTCATTCATCCAAAACTGTACAAATAATTGCATTTAAGATGGAAACATGTTTTTTCCTGTACATCTGCCTCAATGGGCATAGTTTTTGCTTCACCTAGTTCAAAATCTGTAAAATAGCCTATTAACAGAAACAATACCAGTCTCTTGCAGTACAGCAGAGCCGTTCCGCTGTGACTCGCCGTCGCCCACTTGGTGAAGCTGATCACGTGATCCAGCTGCCTCGTCAGGGCGTTGATGTCGTCCTGCTGCTTCTTCAGAGCCAAATCGTGGTCCTTAGTAAGCGCCTGAGGGCGAGAGCGGCGTTCACTGAAACGTCACCAGAGGACGTCTGGTGGAAGAGGCTCAAAAGGGAAGCGCAAACACACCTCGAGCTGGTTTATCAGGATCTTTCCCTTCCTGTTGATCTCCATGATCAGGTTACAGATGGACTTCTTTATTTCGTTTGTCACAGCTTTCCGGTTTTCCTCCACTTGCTGCAGTCTGTGGAAGTTGAGACGGAGAGGGAATTTGGCGTTGTGAATCCAAATTGACTCCTTGTGATTATTAACTAGGACTAAAACTGTCAGCTATTCAGGTAACACTTTATTTGAAGGAGGGTGAATAGGACTGACATGACACTGTCATAAACATGACATATCACCTGTCATGAACATGAATAAATCTTCATGAATATTTATGACTGTTGTCATAAAGCGTCATTCGGTAAATCATGACTTTTAATACAAAGTTGACATTATTAAAAATGTCTTTGTTATGACAACTTGACATTACCCAAGACGTCGTCGTCATGACAACTTGACATTACCCAAGACGTCGTCGTCGTGACAACTTGACATTAAGCAAGACATTATAACTTATGAATGTAATAACAGGTGAATTTTAAAATGTTATCCTTATAAGACAGCATTAACAAGTCATGAACATTTTCAGCTACCTCAAGTAAAGTGGACCACACTTACTTGAGGTGACTGGAAATGTTCATGACTCTGTCATTAAAGCGATAGAGTAATGGCACTCAATGACATCTTCAGTACTAGTTTACTGTGATACACTTTAACAGAGGAGGATAATGTCACAATTATAATGGTCTCATGACAGCAAAAGGTATGTGTAAGAACAAGTGACTTGTTAATGCTGTCACACAAGGATAATATTTTAAAATTCACCTATTTCATTCATGACAAGTTTTAATATCTTGCTTAATGTCAAGTTGTCATGACAATGACGTTGTCTTGGGTAATGTCACGTTGTCATAACGAAGGCATTTTTGGCGAGGTTAATGTCAAGTTGACATTTTTAATAATGTCAACTTTGCATTAAAAGTCATGATTTACCGAATGACGCTTTATGACAACAGTCATAAATATTCATGAAGATTTATTCATGATCATGACAGTGTCATGTCAGTCTTATTCACCCCCCTTCAAATAAAGTGTTACCGCTGTTTAAAATCAAATAAGTGAAATAAGAATAAGTGGATACTTTAAATGACTACTGTGGTCTCAAAATTATTCAACTCTTTTCTGCTTCCTTGAGGAAGAAGAAAGGCAAGATAGAACAACAGCAAGCAGACATTTAGACTGGTTTTGTTTCACCACTTCACATCAAACAATCCCAAAACCTCTTTGGCTAATTCATACATTTGTGACAAAATTGGAGCCTATTTTTCTTCGGCTTTTGGCTCAGTAGTTCTGTATGAGTTACTTCTACGCTTAATATGTATTTTACTAAAACCTGTCAGTTGTCAACAGCTTCCTCTTTCTCTCACATCTTCCTTTTCTGAACTTCAGCAACCTTTAAAAGCAGAATTCAGTCTAAAAATTAAACTTATCTTGCATAGTTTGGTTATTTAAAAAAATAAAAAATAATTTAGAACTTTGTGAAAAACCCAAATTTGCTGCTAGAGGTGATGTCTAACTGCTGATAGGGATTAAATTCAAGTCAAAGAAATTCCAACTGTAGCAACATTACAAACATTTTGTAACCAAAGCCCAGTGAATCAGAATGAATCCTTTTAAAGATGCGTTTGAAACCAGCCGTGTTGCAGAACTTTACCCGGAGTTGATACAGCTCGACACTTCTTCAATGGCTTTTCTCTTTTCCTGCAACTGCAGCGTCATGGTTTCCAAATACTGCTTATGGTTCCTGTACGCATCCTCCAAGAACTGGTAGCTAGACACAAAAAGAAAACAACAGCATGAGTGTAGGACTTTTTCTTTTTTTTTTTTTAAATATCTGTCATGATTAGTCCTGTTCGGTTTGTATATATCGCCGCATCCCACGTGCAAAACAAATCAGCTCTTTTGCTAAATCATCAGCAGGAACGCAATGTTACTTGTGGTCCTTGTGTTTGAGGAGCTGGCAGTCTCGACACGTGAGCCGGTCGCACGTCTCGCAGAACAGCTTCAGCGGCTCCTGCTTGTGAACGTCGCAGAAGACGGGCTTCTGCGTGGAAACGCCTAGGGCCTCTGCGCAGGAGGAGAGCACAGGAGGATCCGTTCATGAGAAACATGAAGCCTGAACATTTACATTTCTTTCTTCTATCCAATTACTAATCTGTTAATCAAAACAATAGTAATCGACATCAGTAGTGAGAGTAAGTCAGTAAGAAAAGGCCGAGCTTTTCATATCTTATTGGAAGTAGATGAGTACTTAAAAAAAGCTGTTTTTTGCATGTTTGGCAATAAAATGTTTACTTTTGTTCTTTAAAAAGGGAAATGAATTATTTATTTGCACGTTTTATGCATTTCTTAAGCTTTAATAAAAATACTGCAGAATTTGCCAATTTATTTTATCCGACTAATCGTCAGAACGATAAATTACTTAAATAATCATTATTTTAGTAGATTGGAGAGAAGAAAACCAGCAACTATTTAATCAAACTTGGATAAATTACAACCAGCTACACACAGAGAAACAAAATGTCTCTTACCAGCAGATAAATATCACACTTTTAGATCTACTCAAATGCACAATTTGAGTAGTTGTGCATTTGTGCACAACAATTTGAATAATTGTGCACTGCTTGGTTTGAAACCGAGCCGACTGGACAGTAGCATATCATAAAATGAAAGTAATCGCAATCTAATCAATATCAAAATATAAAAAAAGGAATACTGTGCTTGCTTGTTTTGCTTATGTCTCCCAGCTGTTGCTCCATATTGACATTAACCAGTCCAAAAAAAACAAAAAAAAAAAAAAACAGACAGTGCATTCATTCATAAAAAGAGCAAACGTCAAGAAGGATGAAGGACACAAATGATGCGATGCGTCTGCGCCCCACCTGGAGACATCTCCTCCTTCTGGCGTATGGTGTGGTCTCGGGTGAACTTCACCCTCTGGTGAGCCTCGATGCACGTCAAGCACAGGAACTCCACACACTCCACGCAGTAGCCCGTCGCCTCGGTGTTGTCGTCGCAGCTCATGCATACCTGGCAGAAGCAGAGGGACGCAGAGAAAAAAGAAAACAAAAGATGAGCAGGAAAGGCGCAGAATTTACAACAATTTTTTTTTTTTTTACGAGATGATCCGCTCAGACAAGAGCGGGGGAGGGGGCTGTGAGGCAGAACCTGGCTGGTTTTCTCCACTGTGCTGCTGGGCACCTCAGCGGAGTCCTTGACAAAGAAGTTGTCCAACACGTCGACCTCCCAGCATTCCTGTCCGCACACCGGACACCGAATGGAACCAACTATAGCAGGAAGCACATATTATTGTATTATTGGGTTTATTTAACCAGCAATACTACTGTAAATATTTATGTCACAATATTTTCTGGTGCTATTGTGATAACGATAAAGATGATAATTGTGATAACGATAAAGATGATAATATATATAAGGTTTATTACAGTGGTTTTTTTTGCCTGTGACTGAATGGAACAGCATTCACTGCACCACAAACACACACACTGTTCTTTAAAAACATTCTCATTTAAGATAAGCTTCTTCAGGATGCCACTTTTTTTTTTAAGTGTTTTTTATATGCATAAACTGAACACAGTAACTGCATTCATCATGTTTTTGGATTTACTGATACTTATCGATGCTCTCGTTGAAAAATCAGTGTAGAAAACAGCAGCATTTGCGATCACACTGTCAGTTTAGTTTTTTATTAACTCTCAATAATTTATCATCAAGATAAATCAAAACACATTTTCGACAATAAATGATAAACGATACAATAAATGCTCACCCCTACATCAGAGTGAGGCGGTATGATCTGAGGTCCTAAAATTATTCAGAAATGGCAAAATCATCAGCCTCCACATACTCAAAACTTATTTTTACAACTTTACATTAATGCACCACTTTCTATCCATCACATCCAATTTGTTACTGCAGTTTGGAGTAAAACCGCACGAGTAATAATTTGATTTTCAATGAAATACTGATATTACATATTGTGTATTGTTATTTTGGCTTTAAAGTCAGGCAGATTAATGGACATATCTTGTCATAACACGTAGTTAAAGGGTGATAAAACTGAGCTCCGTCTCTGTGGGTGAGTGAATATTATCACCTGGACCGTGCGGGTCCCGCCTCGGCTCGGCGCTTCTCAACGGGGGAGGCAGGCACCTCCGGCAGAAGGAGTGCAAACACGGCAGCAGTTTGGGCTCCCTGTTGTGGAAACTCAGCTTGCAGATGGGACATGTGTCCATGAGCCCGAAGGCGCCCAACTGTTTCACCTTCTCTTCCCCTGCGGGCAAACTTTCAGCCTCGTTCTCCACGATGATGACGAGGTCGTCGTTATCGACACTTTCATCCATTTCTGTCACGTCACGATAACTCCAGCCGGTTAATCAATGCAGCTAGCCCTTCGCCTAGCATCGAAAAGATAGCCTTTTGTTTCACTCATTTGGATTAAAAGAGTAAGATAACATTGCATACAGCGGCATTTTCAATCCTGAGTGAATTAATTGAAATAGTAAATCATAAAATAAAAAGGAAACAACACGAATTAGCTTATTGCAGCTCGTTTGTAAAGCTAAATTAGCAATGTAGCTTACTTCAAACGCATAAACGTTAGACAAAAACACTATTTCCACTTTGTGGCGGTTATTTTTTTTAACTGCAAAACAAAGAATCCAGTAGTCCCATATGTACGGAAAATAGGTTAGACGCAAGATATTTTCGGCTCACACGTCCATTAGGGATCGGCTAGCCTCCGTGCTTTCTTTTTTTTTCCTCAAAACACTGGCGATGCGTCTTTAGTGGCCGAGTCGGATTGACATACCGGCTCTTCGGGGTGAACGATGAAAGCCGGTGTTCGTTGGATTCTTAAGGGCTTAGACCACATGAGTGGTCTGAAACATTTCCTTTGAAGTTTATAATTACTTGCTTAGAAAGGTTCTAATAGTAAATACACACTAATAAAAGGGTGTGAAACGACGAAAGAGCTCTTTCAGTGAAGCCATTTGATTCGGATCCCCAAAACTATCCGTAATTCCCATCACACCAAAACCACAGTACTTGAATCATACGGCGCAGCTGGATTTTGCAGCTACGGTGTCCCACTAAGGACAAACTATGCATTAAAGTCAATAGCTTTAAATTAATCAATCTCCTACACACGTATATGCGGAGTATAGGCGAAGCTGGGTAATCGGCGAAATAGATGAGAGACCGAAAAAAACAGATTAAAGGAAAGAAAGCATTAGTACAGAAGGCTGCCAAATGTGAAAGACTCACAGACATATTTTCCAACAAACTATATAATGTTAGGTTTAATTTAAGTACAATATTAATCATGACGCTTATAGTACATTATACCAGGGGTGCCCAAAATCGGTCCTCGAGGGCCGGCATCCTGCATGTTTTAGTTCTCTCCCTAGTGATAGTAACAACCTCCTCAGCAAGTCAATGTTCTCCTTAGACCTTCTAACGAGCCATAATTTGATGCAGGTGTGCTCAACCAGGGAGAGAACTAAAACGTGCAGGATACCGGCCGTCGAGGACCGACCTTGGGCACCCCTGCATTATGCTATGCTAGCTAGGCAAAGATAATTAGGTCTCTGAATCACTAACACCATGTTCAACTTAAAACAGTAAGGTGGGCCTAAAAAAAATCACTTATATATATATGCCTGGCATTCATATGCTTATCTGCATTCTAAGCAGAGGTGGGTAGTAACTTATTACTTTACTAAGTTAATTGAGCAAGTTTCTGGACAAGCTTTGTTCTGCTCTTAGTTTCTCTCTGCGAATTCTCCTGACATTTGAAGGTGATAAAGATACAATAACCTGTATATTGTCAATAGTTTTTGAAATATATATATATATATTTGGAGAAGTGTTTTTTTTTTCTAGTGTGGTTTTATATTTTGTAATTGTTTTTACATTTTTGTTTTTAAAAATATTTGTCTGTGAAATACAAAACTTTCCATATAACTTTATACTTTATGTTCTTCTGCCATCATGTATGAATTTTAAATGAGATGCTCTGATCAGTTATTCAGAAATTGAGTAGCATTTCAAATTGTTCCTTGAACAACATGAAAAATATACTGAAGTAGTGCTACTCTATTTTATGGATACTACATTCTGACCCTAATGTATTTTTCAGAGTTTTGCATACTTTAAAATGTCGACATTTTTTAAAATCATTTTATTGTATTTGAATGCATTAAAATCGACGCTATGTACCAGTTACATTTTCTAATAAAAGTTTTATGATAATGTCTCTTATTTATATACAATTCTAGCAGAATAGAACATTTTATAATTACTTCTACCTTGGTAGTCCTTAATGTAATTAATACAGGTCAAGTTTGAGCTTTGACGAACGTAAAAACTGAGCTGAAAATAAACAAATTGTCGGTTGGTTTATGTCAGCAAACGGACCTCCAACGTCCGCAAGCGCTGTTGAGCGGACGTTAATTTCATTTAATTTCTCTTCATTTTAATTTCGTCGTTTCATTCATTTCATTTCGTTTTGACCCTCGGCGAACGTTCGTGGCAAGAATCAGGTGACTGAACGTTCAGTGCGAGCATGGCTCGTCCCGTTTGCTTAGGCAATGTGTCAGATACGTGAGCTTTATCAAGTCTGTTTGTGCAGGGGAGGCTGGCCGCTTTGTCTGGGAGGAGTTATTTGCCTGATCTTAAGAGGAGAAAAACTACTCTGCAGTTGGTGTGATTGGCACACCATTGTTGAAGGCTGTAGCTCTACATACAGTGTTCAGGAAAACCTTTGATCAAATATGGCACTGACACCCAAAAACCACTCAGTTCCTTTGAGTGATGGAAACAGCATACCTTTGATTGGACTGGGCACCTATTCGAATCCTCAAAACGTAAGATTGTTATGTTATCCGACAGTTTAGCACCGTGATGTTTCCTTTAAGATTGTGTACTCATGGAGAATACATTTATTGACAGACTCCCAAAGGAACCGCCTTGGCAGCTGTCAAACGGGCCATCGAGGTAGGATACAGACACATTGATGGAGCCTTGATCTACTGCAATGAGGATGAGGTGGGTCAAGCAATCCGAGAGAAAATTGCAGATGGGACTGTAAAGAGAGAGGACATCTTCTACTGTGGAAAGGTTTGGCTGTTTTCCACATTTTCCACCTTCAGGATAATGTTCATGGTCACAGATATTACCTATACTGAACAACTAACACCCTTTTTGTTATTTGTTGTTTTTTTTGGGGGGGTCGCACTGATTTTTCATAGTTGTGGAACACATTCCATCCTCCTGAGTTGGTACGACCTACTTTGGAGAAAACCCTGGAGGAATTACAGCTGGATTATGTGGACCTGTACATTATAGAAATGCCCACTGCTTTCAGGGTTCGGAACATGTTTTGTGATATGTATAGGGTCAAAAATCTTATTTTTGAGTTTTTTGTTTTGTTTTGCTTTTTTACCAAATTGAAAGTTTCTGTTAATGTTTGAAGCCAGGAGATACGTTCTACCCACAAGATGAGAATGGGAAGTGCGCTTATCACAAGACAGACCTTTGTGCTACATGGGAGGTGAGAAATCCTTGTCATCTATTTCATTCATACGTATGGTCCAAATTTGAGACTGTAAAAGACAATAGTTTATAGCAGTTACAAGACAGAGATCCAAGGTCAAAGTAAGAAGCTTGTCATCAGGATTTATGATCTTTGTTTCTATAAAAATGTTTATTTTATGTCTTGAACAGGCTATGGAAGCTTGTAAGGACGCTGGGCTGGCAAAGTCAATCGGCGTATCCAACTTCAACAAGCGCCAGCTGGAGCTGATCCTCAACAAACCTGGGCTGAAACATAAACCAGTCACAAACCAGGTACTCCATCATAGCACTGATAAAAATAGATTGAAATTTTTGAAGATGGGAAGCAGGGGCGATTCTAGGATATCATCTTTAGGGATGCTTAGCCCCCAGCAGGGCTAAGACCCATGAGAAGAAATTTGTTGGTGCAGTTTTCTAAATCTAACTGCATATTTACATATATTCACAAACATTAATGAGAGACAAGCATCTGTGGAGTGACACAGTCCTAGTGTGGTCTGCTCCCCTGGAAATTTAAATAATATCTACTCAAAACTATGCATTTCCACTCATTTGAAGAACATTTTTACTAAATTCATAGGATTAATAAACCTAAAACCAGTTTATTATCAAGGTAAGAAGGTCAGGTTAATGATTGATTTTCACAAGTCGTTGACCTGACCTTTATTTGAAAATCATACTTAGAAATTGCACTACCCTTATTTTTACCTGAACATTATGTGGGTGCTGGCCTTTTTCCTTTAAACAAGAATGAATGTCCTTCTATGGAAAAGTGAAAATTATGAGTGAGTTTTACTATTTCAGTTCACAGTTCACGAAGTGGACCCATCACAGTTTCAGTATAAAACACCTTTCTTTTCACAGACAAAGAAACAGCCTGACGCTGACATTCTGCACTGTTCTTTAGTTGTACCTTATTTAAGTGACTCCAGAGAGGTTTGGGAAATTAATTACAAAACACAACAGTCAATCAATCAATCAATCAAATTTTATTTGTATAGCACATTTCAGCAGCAAGGCATTTCAAAGTGCTTTACATAATTAAAATAAAAACAGCATGTGAGAAAGAGATTTAAAAAGCATAATTAAAACGTAAACAGTGAGAAAGAGAAATAAAAAGCTGTAGAACTTTAGTTGTCACTAATCAAACTTAAAAAAAGGGCAACAAGAGTAATTAACAAGGCAAAGGACCAGCCCCTGCACCCACACACATTTCTATCAATACCCCTGCTGCTGCCCCCCCTCTGCCCCCTCAGAGTCCTTCAACCCCATGCGAGTCTCCTTCCTTTCTCTCCTACTCTGTGATCCTCCCTCCACTCTTCAGCAAGCCTCCTCTACGGTAAACATCACCCCTGAAGATGTTAGAAGACACCCGGTGAGACTCCACCCTGGAAAGCTTGTGACATCCAGCTCTGTGGAGTCCTCCAGCATATCTTCAACATGAGCCAGCATCTACAGAGGGTCCCCTGTGATGTCGAAAACACCCCGCATTGTTCCGCTGCCGAAGACACAGCGTCCTTGTGACTCCAAGGATTATATGTGGCGCTGACCCTGGAGTCTTATCCTGGAGCAGCTCTGGCCTCTGGTCCAACCACGTCCTACCAGCCCAAACTTGGAGCTTAGGAAGCCATTATCTTCCTGCTCAACTGTGTATACACTCACCTGAACTAGCCGGCAAGCACAGTGAGAACAATGTTGTTTTGGCTTCTCCAGTGCATTCAACATCATCCGTTCAACTCTAATGGATGAGAAGCTGATGGTGATGCAGGTGCATCTTCTCCTTGTGTCCTGGATTGTGGACTATCTGACTGGCAGACCACAGTTTGTTCGCTTGCGACACTGTGTGTCAGAAACACAAGGACTCCACAAGGAACTGTCCCTTCATCTTCACCCTCTATAAAACCAACTTCAGCTTTTGCACTGTGTCCGCCTGTCGTCCATCTGTCCAATGCATAAATAGGTAAATAAAATCAGTAATAAACAGTGATCACCCATACTTAACTATAGAGTGAACTGTTACAAATGGACAAGCACATATTCAACCATTACAAATGCCAGGTACTACACCTCTGCATACTGCCGGCTGTTCTAATAAGACATAAAGCAAATAAGGAAACAAACTTGTTTCTGAAGATACAAAGGATTAAATAAATGTGTACCATATAGAACACTAAATATTGGTAAGTCAGTACGATTTTATTATAAACACCCCTCATATGTGATGGATAACATTGTAAATAAATAACTAACCAGTAGATAGCCATTAATTAAGCTTTAAACAGTTTACAATCCATTATTAAGCAGTTATAGTGCATTACTAAAAAGTAGAGGCAGTACATTTCTCCAATATAAATACTTGAGTGTCAATATGTGGACAGTCTAATACCAGGGTTACTAAATAAAGCATTTTCTAATTTCCAAACTAAATTTTTATTTATTTATTTATTTTTAAACACAGGTTGAATGTCACCCGTATTTCACCCAGCCAAAGTTGCGTGAATACTGTCAGGAGAAGAACATTGTGATTGTTGGTTACAGCCCACTTGGGACAAATAGGGATCCATCGTGGTGAGAACTTTTTTTTTTATTATTGTTTATAATAGTGAATAATGCATTGTTCTGTTTACAAAAAAAAAAAAAAAAAAAAAAAAACCCCCCCCAAAAAATTTTAAATTAAAAAAAAAATTTTATTTTAAAAAAG